TTCTTCCCAAATAATAGAGGCTAAGTAGATTTGAACACTTCCGCTGACAGTTGACATGTTGACGTAGGTATATTAACCAGAGTGTATAGAAATACCTCTATATGTTGGTAGTAGCAGCTATGCTAATTCAGACCAATCTTAAGAATCTAGATTTTGTTGAGTTCTTGTGCTCTTTAGAAAGAAGTCCTCCTAGTAGAATTAGGCACTGTCCTTGTACATGGAAGCTTTTTTGACTTCACTTTTTTTTTTTTTTTTTTTTTTTTTTTTTTTTGGTGGTGGTGGTTTTGTTCTGTTTGGGGTGGTTTTTGAAGGTGTAAGACAAATTACTGAAAACAGTTTCTTAGAAAAAGCAGCAATATTAAGATTTGGAAGTATTTTATGTTTTATAAGATACTTTCAAAAGCAATAAATGTTCTCAATACCTGTCTGTTATATACTGCCTTTGGATGTTTTGTGTTTTGTTGTTACAGCCAAAAGGCAAATACTTTTTCCGGTGTCTTTGAGTGTGATCTAGGTGTTGATTAGGTACAGCTTTAGCATACCTACTGGCTTGCCTCCCTTTTCCAGGAAAAATGGGCAACTAGTTTCAATAGATGTTGAGTCTCTAACAGCTGAAAAATGTGTATCTGGCAGATACTTGTAGGCTGAACCATGCTATATCCAGGTGAAAATAAAAGGTAAAGCTGAAGGTAGTCATCTACCTAATACTGATGCTATGTTTATGTTATTTATTGCCGTATCAATGCAGCCTTAGGAAGGGACAGTTCAAATTTGGCACCTGTAGCAGTCAAAACTTGACCATTTCAACTCTTTTTGATTATGTGAGAAGTTGTGTGACCTTCTTTTAAGATTTTGCCAGTAGTCCACTTCTGTTTACTTCTGTTTTGTAGATTGAACAGGTAGTTCCAGCGAAAAGATACCTAGCATTAAATAAATTGTTCAGGACCACAGAACTGGAAAAGATTTCTCGTGTTACAGAGTCTAACCCTCTATTATCATGATAAATTGTATTAGATAATGTGTTTTTAAAAAATCAGAGGTTTGTCTTGAAATCACACTTCTATCACACTTTTATCAACACAGCCTGTTGATAACTGTTGCAGAGCATTAGTAGGAATGTGGTAGGAATTCCCACTTAACTTTACTCAGATCAGGTAAAACCTGATCTTTTAACAACTTTGCACTTAGTACTTGCAGCAGAACACCATCGGCATTTACTAGAAAGCCATTGTATTACCCCTTGGCTTCATTTTACTTGACAAAACAATCCAATCAGTTTTGTTTCATAAGGTAGTTACCAGTAATCCCTATGATACTTCTGTGCCTTTGATCCAATTTGAATTTGTTCTTACTGAAAGTATTTTACTAGATTTGTGTTTGTTGTTCCAAATGAGATGTCACCAATATAAGTACCCTACGAAATAGTATTTCTCCCCTTCTGCTTGATCTCTTGCCTCATATACTTTAGCAGCTGTCATATATGACATATTGTAGTGGTTTGATAGTTGACCTGTGCATCCAGTCTTCTGTTTTCAGCTGATCAATTCTCATTATGCACCTTGGTATTAATTTGCACTATGCAAGAAACTGTAATTTATATTTTTAACTCAATAGTTTACTGTTACCTGTTACTTTACATTTGTTGTCAAAATTCATCAGCATGCTATTTAGTGTGCATAATCAGTTACCTAAAGTACCAAATTAGGTCATTCCCCAAATCAGTCATTCAGGGAGCATTATTAGAAACTTCCTTTCAAACCCATTGTTCCCACTCTAATACAGTTCTACTTCGCTCCTTCTGTAGCCAATTCTTTTGCACCTTAGATTCTCGTATCAATCTCCACATTGTTGGAATTATCTTGTATGGTACCCCACTGAAGTATGCTGACGTACAGGTTAAATGTAGTGCTGTTACTTTGTCCAGAAAAATCACAAAAATAATATCAACAAACTTACGTAAAATTTCCCATTCTGCGATTGATCACTTTTCCATTTGATGCTGGTTTTAATTATTATTTTCTTCCAAACCTAGTCTGAAACCTTTCAAACTGCTGAGGTCAGACTAAAACGTTTGTAATTGGATGAACCATGCACCCCTCTCTAAAAATGTGTAGTGCTGCATGTAGAGAAGTTCGCATTGAACCTTAGACTATTCCATTCTTCAGTATGAATGCTAGTTGATTGCAAAAACATGGGTTCTACAATGCAGTTACCAGCTCTAGCATAATGTTTCTTCATAATGGATCTGTTCCCTGACTCTTATGCAGGCTGTGTGGTATCAGGACCTGGATCACAACACCCTTAGAGCTACCCTCCGGATACCATGTCTGGCTACATTGTCTCTGGAATTCTCCTTAGGAGGCTTTCTTCTGGCCTGAGGTGTGAGATCCAGGAAAAGGTTTACAATCTCATTTGACTCATGTATGCTTGCAATGCCCTTTTGAGGTTGAGATCCCTCCAGAATTGCTTTAGCACAGTATTCTGTAGCCTTACAGCAGTTTGTTTGACTTACCTTCACTAAGGTGGTACTTTTAGAGCCATATAGTATGTCGCCTTTTTAATTAAAAGCTATTTTTTTGTAACTCCTCGTCAGTCCAAAAAAGTCGAACTTCCAAGTCCTTCATAGCGTCTTGGTTTGGTAGTTCCAGTTTGACAAAACCCATGCTTTTTTACAACTATTTTAAAATGTGATTTAAAAAAAAATTAAGATGAATTAGTTAATTTTTGCCTGTTACAACCTTATTTTTTGATGAGTTATTGAGAAGAATGTTCTCAGTTTGATTTAACATTAAAATGTTAAGTACTTATTAACTATTTATGTCAACATGCTTTTGTTTAGATCTGTTTTCAGGAATAATTTAAAGAGGAGGAATTAACATCTTAAGATAGTAAAAACCAGAACATTGTAATTGCTATGAATTTAATGAGATTTGTTTGGACAGTAAAATTGAAAGCTAGTGTTTCAAATGTTTAAATACAATTGCATTTAAAGTGCTAAAACACTTTATCAAAATAAGATTTTAATAGAGACTGATCTAATTAATTATACATTAACTACAGTATGCAGATGATTAGTAAAATTGTCAAAGTTCCTAAAGAGATTAGGTGAGTAAAATTGGTGAAATTCAAAATTGTTGCATTATCAGTAATACGAATTAGGCAAACTGTAGTTGTTACATACTAAGATTTTGAAGAGCAGTTAAGTTAGGTTGTGAACCTAATACTCAGAAAAATCTGATCCTGGATATTTCAGGCTTTCACAATCAATTTCTTTATTAATAAGACTGGACAGATGAAAGTGAACAAGCCTACTTCCTCAGCTGCAACATATGCTCTTAAAACAGTTGATGATAGTGTGTGTTGGAGCTGAACAGAAGTGCTCCTAATGAACACACTGCCTCTGTTTACTGAAGTGTGAAGCTCAGTGGAAAATTTAAGAGGAAACTTCATACAACAAACCATGTTTTCTAGGAATGAGTATGTGAAAACAAGAACTTCTTACCCATGTGAAGGCAGATACTTAGTTGGTCACCTACATACAAGGGGTAAATGACCCTCTATGTAATTGCAGTTGCAATAAATCTCTTGCTGTGTTTTTCCACAACTGCTTTTGAGTGAAAGCTAATGTTTTTACAGTCCTACCTCCTCCCCAGTCCTTTCAGTTTTCACAGATACATATATTTGTGGATGTATCTATAAATACATATAGACATACTTAAAAAAAAAAAAAGTCTAGCTCTCCTAAGCTTTTAGTAAGCTAGATCAATGAATGCCATGAGTTGTTTATAGGAGTGACCAGGATCACACAAGGCAAAGATGGTGCCACAGTAATGCCATCTAAATTTGGTTTAAACAGTTTTGGGAATGTGGAATTTGCAATGATGGTAAAGCTCAAGATGTGGCTTGTCCCTCTTCCAGAAGCTTTTTGACATCAGAGTTGGTGACATGCTTTTGCTGTGTAGTGGAGACTAAGCTGAAGCTCCAAATCAACTGTGGGAAATCTGTAAATGTTTAGAGTTCTGATATAATGTTGACTGGAACACTGAGAACAAAGTTAGTTATTATGCTTGTACTTCCCATTATCTGTTTATCATTACGGCATGCTTTACAGAATCACATGAATGGCATGTAAAGTAAACATTTAGAAGAATTGAAGTTTAAGATCATACAATTTCTTCCTATGCTTTACGTTAAAGGTCAAGTATTAGGTGGAGGTTTACAGAATAGTCGCAGTCATCAGCTTCATTAGGGCAGGGCTGCTTCATGAGGTCTATATTTCAAGAGTTTTAATGTTCATGTGCAGTTACTAGAAGTAGCGAGTGGTTTCCTTTAGGTAGACTATCATTTGTCTGCCTCAGGTGTTCTGTGTCTTTCTGGACTATCTGACTTATCAGAGTAGGAGTACTGGAGTAAACGGATAGTGCCAGTGGCCGAGTATATCTTTCC